TTAATACCTAAACTAATATCAAATTTAATGACTTGATAGATTTGGACGTGCCTGTTCGTCATTTAGGAGGTATAGATGATGTATATAAGCAGTTAATACAGAACTCCATAGAAAAGGATGTTAAAATTGACGCAACAAATGCTGATTCTCAGATAGATCATACAAATTACGACACAGATATAATGTCAATGAAGACTCAGGCAATCGATACTTTAAAAGCTATATTCGTTGTATTTGCAGAAGCGATGTCTAATCACGATTCTAATCGTCGATTTTTTAGCAATTCCATTGGTTATAAATCGGTAGAGGATGCCATTTGCCTTACCGAGATGTTTAAGTTACCTGGAGCCCCTGAAAATCTTTTTGGAATACTTTTTGGATTCGCAATTGAAAATGAATCAGTGGCTGATGTATTCATTGATAGACAAGATATTTCAAATAACATTAATCAAGTCAAAATAGAAGAAATGTTTGGAAACTTTACTGATGAAATTCATAATCCAGATATTATTCCCACTATAATGAAGTTGCAACTTTGTGTTAATCGTGATTCACGGTTATTTCTGAAAATTTATGAAGCTCTAGTCGCTCTTTCCCTTGCAAATCGAAGAAATCAAGTTATGCTAAATAAGTCTGGTGTGCTTGAAATTGTTTTACATCGATTATTTCCAACATCAATTCGATACACTGAAAAAGGAACAATTAACGCTAGTAATCATACTCAAGAAAAGAAATTTTTAACCAAATTAGCTCAAAGATTGATTGAAATGGGTGTTACTACAAAGGAGATCCGTTTCCTATTTGAACAATTCGAAAATGGGAGCCAACGTCCTAAAGCAATTACAGATACCGATGGAGCATTCATGACTGCTATGGACATGGTTTTATTTGGCGTTCAAAGAAGCAGATGGCCTCGATTCATACAATTTGATATGTGCCAGTTTGGCTATTCTTGTTTAGAGATGAATAGTTTAAGTGATCGTCCGTTTCCACCTACAAGTGGAGGGTATACGTTTATGAGCTGGCTTGATATCGAAAACTTCGATTCAGAAATGAACCTGACCCTTTTAGGGTTAAGTGATGATGAAAAGAAATGCTACTTGCAAATTTATTTCGAAGCACAAACTCATAAACTTGTTGTTCAGACATCTCCAAAACAAACGACTCGATTTGATAATTTCGAATTTAGAACCGGATATTGGTATCATATAGCACTTGTACATCGTCGATCGCGTTTAGGGCAGTCTTCATTAATGTCACTTTATGTAGATGGAAGATTTGTAGATGAACAAAAGTGTCCTTATTTAAATCAATCAGTTACTAATCGACCAATAAAAACGTTTATTGGAACACCAAAAGAAATTGCAAAAAAACTAGGCAAAGGCAAAACTAAACTCGCATGGGATCTAGGCCCTTGCTATTTTTTTGAAGACGACCTAGATGGTGACATCATTAGTGTTTATTGTCATCTTGGACCTCGGTATTCTTCTAATTTTCAAGATTCTTTAGGTCAATTTCAGACATACCAAACTTCCACACTGCTTAATATGAGGCTTGAAGCCTTAAGTCGCCAACGCAGTGATTCTGCTATTGAGCTGGATAGTCTGCCTATAGTTAACGCAATTCGTGGTAATAATAGTCAAACTTTGCCTGAAGAAAAAATTATTTTTGCATTTAATGCAAGTAATGTTCTTGTCTGTGGCCAAAATGCAAGCATATTGGGTGCTGGTCTTTCTGAAGGCACATCACAAGCCCTACTTGGCAACGTTAATACAAAGGTGATATTAAATGCTGCTGTTCCGAAAGTTGAACGTGCCCTGCGAGTGCCACATGGATTAGCTTACTTGCAAGGTGATCCAGTGACTGCTGTTCCTTATGGGATGGATGATTCTATTTGGAAGATAGGAGGCTCTGCTGTGGTTTTGAGGTTAATCGAAAGGGCGGAAGTACGTTCTAAGTCTTTAATCAGCCTACAAACCTTTTTTCTCGAACATAATTTTGAAATTTTGATTTTTATTGTTTTATAGACAACGGAGGATTTGTATAAAACTGTTTGTACACTTATCGAGCTAATTCGATTTAATTGGCGAAATTCAGAAGACATGGAAAGAATTCATGGATATGAAATTTTGGCATATTTGCTAAAGCAAAAGCACGGCCTCTTAACTCCGGAGCTTTTAAATTTGTTGCTCGTCTTTGTAGGGTTAAATCCGGTCAATCACATGTGAGTTTCAATATATCCTAATAGTATAAATATAATTTGTGTTCATAACAGTATTGTTTCGTTTTATAGGGATTCAGTCATTATGAATCCTCTCGCTTATCGATTTTTAATACTGGACTTCGATTTGTGGAGACATTCTCCCGAAAGTGTTCAAAGAGCACATCTTCAACAATTTTCAATATTTATTCATTTGAGCAAGCATCATCACTACAATGCTAAACGTTTAAGCAAAATGCGTATCCTTCCTGTTTTTATGTAAAATATTACTTTCAATTCATTTTTTATAAATCCTGAACTAATATATTACACATAACAGATGTCGTCAAGAAAATGTTAGTTGCGCTAAAAACAAACGTATATCCGAAAGAATTATTAACTGATTTCATAGAAACTCTGAAGATAGTAGTAAAGTACAATTTTACTACAGAAGTTATACGATCTATTGTAACTTTTCTTGTATCTACATTGAATAAACGTGGGTTTTATATTTTAATGTTATTGTATATACTATTAGTGATTACTTTATTTAATAATACTAACTTTTATATTGCGTAGCTTCTCCATTTCGTCGCGGCATTCGTAAAGAATCGCCTCTTAAAACTAGCAATACTACTACATTTTCCCATGAAAGCATTTATGGAAAAGCATCTATAAAAAATATTGTGGTGGATGTTAGGAGCTTGCCAGCTGAGACGACTGCACGGCATATTGGTGTTATGGTCATGGAAATGCTTACGGACATTGTTTGCGATAAACTTAATCCTTTCTATGTCAACAGATTTGCAACGACCATTACCAACAAATGGCCATTGCTTTTTTTTAGTGAAGATTCTAATCCATCCTGGGTAGTATGTGCCGCGCGAATTTTAGCTAGACTCTTTCATTCACAAGGAGCCGCTTATATTAATAAATTTCGCACGTTATCTGAAGGGTTCATCGTTATGCAAAAATTACTTCCTCAATGGTGGTATCTTACTCAATTACAACATGTATTGTTCACTATGCTTTTTGGCATCGATGTATGCGATATTCCGATCGATGCTTCCTTTGATCTTTCATCTTTGGTTACATTATTTAGAGCTGACGATGACGCTACGCGAATTGCTTGTCCAGATGTTATGATAATTATTTTACTAATGATGAAAGAAGGAATAAATTCAGTAGTCCAGCTAAGTTACGAAGTCGAAAGGGGTCATAAGACAAGGGGTAGATCTAAAGATGACTTTGTGACACAGAACTCTAATGAGATGCTTGAAGGTACAATATAATAATGCGTTATACTTTCGGAGAAACTAATCACAGTTATATCTTAAAGTTATATTTATTCAATTTTTATGCTTAGTTGAAAAAGAAAGTGATCCTTTGAAAGAAACTCTGTTAAAGGTTTCGCATGTGGAACAAACCATCATACATTTCTTAATGGATATGTATAATAATTCGAGTGAATTTAGCGAACTATGTTGTAAAGGCGAAATTATGGATTGTTTCATTGAGATTCTTTTTCCTATTGTCTGTGCTTGTGATGAAGTGCCAATAGAGACTGAATTATGTAATAAAGATCTTGGACTTTCATTTGATATTGACATTGCAACTGATCTGTTTATGAACAGCATTAATAATATTACACCGGGGGCGTTACCAGTTTTGGCCAATTTACCACGTTATACACAGTCGTTTGACGATGAAACCGGAGAAGAAATGATAACATTTTCTGCTGGAAATAATATCGTGACTATATTGACTGAAGATACATCTATTAGCCCGTCAGCGTCTCCCACACAAACTAGTCCCACACAAGCTAGTCCTGTCAATAGTGATATAGACGACGAACCTGACTCTAGTTTTCGAATTAAACCGCCTATGAGGCGCATGACAAAAAAGCCAGATTATTCAGAGCATAAGAATGCTACTGTAGAAAGTCTTCTTGAATTTGTTGTATCTCTCTGTGTCAATTCAGTAGTTGATCCAAAACTAAAACCGCTGGCTGGGTTAGAAATTGTTTTGAGAGTATGTAGTTGATTCGCTATTGTTATTACTATTTAATATACATCAAGTTAAATGCATCAATATTAATATATTTTTTTTCCAGTCTTTCCCGCCATCATTGTTGGAGCATCAGGCATGTTTGTTTAATTTCATGTGAAATTTTTTTTGCAATATTAACTTTTAGTTTTTACTTAGATTCAATTTGAAAGCTATGTATTGCTGCACGTTATAGGTAGTCTTAAAATAACTCTACAACTCGATTCGAATTTATTAGCAGACCAGCGAATAGTCGCCAACGTTGCAAGATTCTCTCAAATGGCTGTGGATGCAATTTATCAAGGTTTCCCCATTAGTTGTGATCTCGTTCGTTTTTTATTCATTTCTTATAAAATTTAATTAATTGTAATTATATTCATAGGATGGTTTTCAAGTGGAAGAAACCAAATGTATGAGTTCATCACAGCGATTTTGGAGAGACTTGATGAAACCAACGGAAAACGTGTTAATGATCAATGGATAGCAGCATTATATCGTTCTTTAGACAGAATGATTTTGTTCAAGCTTTCCGAAATTGAAAATACGTCAGCTGATGCTAGTATCATAACTGAAATGCTTGAAAAATTAATATACAATCAAAGAGTCACCTTTAGTCCTTATAATACCGATGTGGATTTTCTGCGATGCTTATGTTATCATCTTTATAAATTTTTAATTTATGACAATCAAGACGTTAAAATCAATTCAACTAATGTATCCTTTTAGCGATAAAGATTAATGATACGTTCTCAATTGTTATTGAATGTCGAGCTTAATCCTTAGCTAAATCTTAAATTACAGGTTTGGAAATTATTAATGCTTCAAAAACCAAATGAAATACCAGGAATATTGAGAATGCGAGTCAGAGGAATGGGTAATTTCTCTTTAAAGCTTCTCCAGCGTCATTAAATCGCAAAACTATTCATTTAATAAAATTTTCATTGTTAGAATATAAGGAATTAGTAGAGGGGTTTAACAAGCTATTAGAAATGGTATATACCATTTATGACTTTGATATAACTCTCTGATTCATTTCATACAATCTAACACAATATTTTAGGACATTAACTCATTTTTAGATTGGGTTGAGTCTCGGAAAACACCGCTTGACACGCTGTTTCAAGATAATATTTCGAAAATATGGTACTCTTTTGTTGCGTCCGAAGTTAAAAACTGTAAAGAATATCTGAGAAATTTGCACAGTAAACGAATGACGAAGCTCAAGAAATTATTTAAAAGGGCTTCGATGGAACAAGAATTCTTTAATCAGTACAGAGTTAAAACCACCCAGTGGTCAAGAAATATTCAAGAAGTAGAGACTAGTCGTTATTATAAATCAATTCAAGATAATATTGATCACGATAATTATGTGAGAGATGAGTGGGCAAAAACATCTGCTGATTTGTTCCGTGAACGCGCTCTTTGGGGTCCGAAAACGTCAGATCACGAATCAAAATGGAGATTAGATTTCACAGAAGGTATAGACATTTGATATTTGGCGTGTATGTATTGTATTGTATTGCTAATTTATTATTTCTAGGGCGGTGTCGAATGCGTAAAAAATTAGAACAAAATGAAGATTTGCGATTATTTTCTTATAAGCCAAAGAGCAGCAAATACGAAAATGGTGCAAAAGAGGTAAGAAACAATTATTTCGCAAAATATATTTTATACCTTTTGTATTAATTGACTTAATTTACTTGTTATTTCTTATATTTTAAGAATACAAATGAATCATCTAAACCTTATGCAATGAATAATTCGAATAAGTCACAGACAAGTACTTGTTCTTTGTACAGTTAAATACGATCGATACTTTAATACCTAAACTAATATCAAATTTAATGACTTGATAGATTTGGACGTGCCTGTTCGTCATTTAGGAGGTATAGATAATAAACTTAACATTCTTTTAACAAATATTCCATATTAATGTATTGTTATATTCAGGAAAATCGCATGATCGCCAAATGACACTCACTCCTAGTGCAAGTGATGCTGAAACATCAAATGATGACGTCGATTCTGTTGAAAATAGTATGTACTGATATTCATTTTTGTGCATTATGCCAATTTTCACTTTAACATATTAAAATGTGATTTATCATCAAATCAGGTCAGTATACAGAATCACAAGCAGAAGCTGACGAAGAAAATGCGTTTGAAGAAGACAAAAACAGAAAAGTTTTAAGGTCCTTAGAACATGGTGATGCTGTTTTAGATATATTTAATATAAGTCGTATAGCTGGGTTAGATGCATGTGGTAAGCAAATTGCAAAACTTTAATATCTATCGGTTAATGATTAATGTTTTATTTTTTGATAGAGGGTCTTTTACTACTATGTAAACAAAACCTATATTTAATCGATAACTATTTTCAAACGCTGGAAGGTGAAATTGTTGATATATGGGATGCACCAACAAAGGTATCATTATTACGCTATTGTAATTGATTATTAATTTTAATGCTAAACGTTTGTTTCTGGATTTATTGAAGGAGCGAGATCAATATTTACAAATGCTTGCCTCTCATGCTGGCTACGTAAATAATACTAATACGCCTTCTAAGGAAAACAAGCATAAGAGCAGACGATGGTACTTACTATTATTATTATTATTTTTATTATTATTCAATTACACTCTTCTGCATAACATAATTTTCTTGTACTTTATTAAGGGCTTTTGATGACATAAAAGAAGTTCATAAAAGGAAATTTTTGTTTCGGTAGGCTAGCGCTTATGTCTTACGGATTTGTTTTGAATAATATTTCTAAAAAAAGCTAAATTTACTCAACATGATTTAGTGACGTTGCGCTTGAAATATTCTTTGCCGATGGCCGTAATTATTTGATAACCTTCTTCCTGAAGGAACGAGATATTGCATACAATAAACTTGTTGCGAGAGCTACTTTCTCGATTAGTGGCGCTGAATCTGTTATTGGCACATCTGCCCTTGATGCTGTATCTCCCGTTACGCCATTAACAATTCCTTCGACTGGCTTGAGATTTAACCTGGGCTTTTTTTCAAACTCAAACTCATCGTTGGCAGAACTGACACTAAGATGGGAAAAACGGGAAATTTCGAATTTCCAATATTTGATGCATTTAAATACTCTAGCTGGTCGGTCGTATAACGGTAAGTGAATGTGTGTTTTTTTTCGAAATTAGTAAATACATAACTAAGTATATAATACATATTTAGATCTTACTCAATATCCCGTATTCCCTTGGATCTTGGCTGATTACACCAGTGAGGAGGTGTGTTATCAATTTAATTTCGATAGATAATATCCTGAATATAACATTTATAATACTTTTTTATTTTTTTTTTTTTAGTTGGACCTATTAAATCCTGCAACGTTCCGTGACTTATCTAAACCCATGGGTGCACAAACTGAAGAACGCAAAAGTAAGACATTGAATAGAACATAATATAATGAACTTAAATTTCGCTAATAAAATCATTAATTCATTATACATTACAAATTTTAAAACAATATTTTTGTAGAGGAATTCCAAATACGTTATCGTTCATTTGATCCTACGGCGAATGCAACAACACCGGCATTTCATTACGGAACCCACTACTCTTCTGCGATGATTGTTTGTTCATATTTAATTCGTCTTGAGCCTTTTACACAACAATATTTAAAACTTCAAGTAACTGCCTAAAAATGTATTCTATCAATTTATTAAATCATCATTTGACATTTTCCCTAACTGCCACGATTTTACTTATGTTAATTATTGTAGGGTGGACATTTTGACCATGCTGATCGACTGTTCCATTCAATTGCTAAAGCATGGCTATCCGCTACCAAAGATAACATGAGCGATGTTAGAGAATTGATACCCGAATTTTTTTATTTGCCAGAGTTTCTGGAAAACGCAAATAAATTTAATTTTGGTAATATATTTAAGTTACAATACGATATTTTTATATATTTAAGCTAATTTTTTATACTAACTTGATAACTAGGTGTCAAACAAGGGACGGGTGAAGTAATTGATTCGGTTATTCTTCCACCTTGGGCATATGGTGACCCTAAAATATTCATACATAAGCACCGTCAGGTTAGTTATTAACTATGCATAACATGTACTTAATTCTGCGTAATATTCATTGTTGTCTTTAAATTTTAGGCTCTTGAATGTGATTATGTCAGTGCTCATCTTCATGAATGGATAGATTTGATATTCGGATACAAACAACAAGGACTACCTGCTGTAGAGGCGGTAAATGTTTTCCATCATCTTTCATATGAGGGAGCCATTGGTAAATAAATTAATTTGAATTCGTGAACGTATCCGAAAAGAAAAATTACACGATAATATATATATATATTTTAATTTTCAACAAGATTTGGATGCAATCAGTGATCCAGTAGAAAGATCGGCGACAACTGGAATTATTCATAATTTTGGCCAGACACCTCGCCAACTGTTTACAAGACCTCATCCGCCAAGGTCTTCTGATACAAGCGATTCTAGTAACTACAAATTCAATGATAACGTTATGATGTTAATACAATCGATATCTCCTTTGCTAGGTAATAGTGTTTGTCCATGTATAAATTTTTGTTATTGCTTCTATGTTTTAATAAGACCAAAATTTTAATATATCTTATAGATATCCGATTGCAAGTTCATGATATACGTATAGCGAATGATCGGTTGTTTGCTGTTAGTACGCAACAAATGCTAGTTCCGCCAAATTATACTTATTACGTTGAGTGGGGCTACTCCGATAACAGTCTGAGACTTCATCAAACAGATACTAAAAAGGTTTGTAAAGATACTTGTTAGTGAAATATTATTTCCTTCTCCTAGTGGAATTATTATAAATATCTTCTTTTTTTTTTATTAGCTGGTAGGCCTGTATGAAAATCTTCACTTGCAAACAGTAAGCTGTGCTTGCTTTGCGGATGGACGAACATTTATTACCGGAGGAACTGATGCGGTGAGTTTTTTTTTTATTTTTTGCACTTTTCAATATTGGTATATCGTAGTTAACCAAAAAAATATTACATCGTTATTATTAGGTTATTTGTATTTGGAGATTTAAATGGCAAACTAAATCGCCAGAATGTGGTTTTATGGAATGCCTACGAGGGCATTCTGCAAAGATCAATTGTGTTACTAATTCTAGATCATATAGTGTTATCATAAGTGGGTCAGATGTAAGTGTAAATATAATAAATAAGCGAGTTTTGTTGGCATATTATTAATATTTTGATGCTTTTTATAGGATAAAACTTGCATAATATGGGATTTGAATAGAATGAAATATGTGAGACAGTTGCAGGGCCATGAAACTGGCGTTCAGGTATCCAATGTCGAAATTTATATCATATATTAAGTGTAAATGTTTTTTATACTCACGTTCCACATTTACTTATTACTAAACATCTAGTTTGTTGCCATTAATGATACAACTGTAAGCGAATTTTAGGTGTTTTAAAATGTTATTTATCGTGGCGGCTTATACTGAGATTCGGGTCCCTATTTAAATCTATAATATCTACATATACTCTCTTATTAATAATACTAACCATAAACCCTAACCTAACTGTGAAACAAAAGGCTACAAAAAAAGCCTCCAAAAATTTTATAATTTTATAATAAAATAGGTCAAATTCTCAGCATAAGCTGCCACAATTATCAATAGCAATTAATAATGTTATTATCATTATAGGGAGATATTGCAACGTGTAGTGGGTCGATTATTCGTTTGTGGAGCATCAATGGGGACCTTTTAGTTGCTAAAAATACCGCTCAAGTTCCGGATCCAATTCTTTGTTGTACCTTCTACGAGGTAAAATGAAATATATTTTTTCTGAATTTGTTAATCTTGCAACTGATTTGTGCTTGATGTTTAGGGCAAGCAAAATGAATGGTTCGACAATGACATTATTATTACTGGACACAAAAAAGGTGTAATAAAGGCATGTATATCCATTAACACTATGTAATTTTTAAGGATCTTATTGACTATTTAATTTAGATATGGAATAAAAACTTGAAAGTCGAGAAAGATTTGACCGAAAATAAAGGTATAAATTCAAGATTAATTTAATTTTAATTTAATCTGGACGAAGTATAAATATGTCTGTTTTTTGTAGCGTGTAATTGGAACTTAGAACTGCGGCATAAATTAAAACACGAAAATAGAATAGAGCCATCACCTGCAGCGGATGTCGTCGCTTTGTTACCAGCCGGGTAATTTAAATTAATATTTACAATTTATTTGAAGTTTATTTCTGTATTCTAAAAAGTAATCATATTTGATTAAATTATTAGAACTCAACGAGTTCTTTATAGTGGAGACTCATCTGGAAAAGTTTATTCATGGACTTTACCTGATACCAAAATAGAATCTCATTGGATGTTGGATGGACAAACTGATAATTGTTTAAAATGTTTCGTAAAATTTGCCGTATTAGGTGATCTATTTTTTGTTGCATGAAGCATAATATATATGGGGGCTGAAGCTGAAATTCTAGGGATCTATAAAATCTACTAAACCCCACTTATTCTTTTATTAACAATTCTAACCCTGAATTCTAAAAAAAATACTCCACAAAGGATTTAAATTTTTATAATCAAATTTTCAGCTTTGGCCTCCACGATAAATTTAATCAAAACTAATATAACTTTATTGTCTTTTGTTTCAGAGAGAAAAATTCATTGTAAAACTTGTGGGGGTATCTTTTGTTCAAATTGCACTCGATATGGATCTGATAGAAGTTCAAGGTTTTGTGAACATTGTTGTTTAAAAATAGGTATACCAATATTATCTTAATATAATGCTCACACTTAGAAGTTTCGTTTGTATATTAATTATATTAAAGAAGAACTATATATCTTTTTGATGTGTGTTAGTTTATATGCATGTTATTGTTTTGTTTTATATATTGTAAAAATTTTTAATATAGAATTACATGTATATAAAAAATAATTCTTTTTGTTTAATTAACAAATTCCCGTAAAAAATGTTAAATATTTCATTACAATTTTACTACAAAAAATGTTTTACCGTACGTATTGAGCCTAGCGTTACGCTAATGTTTCCCATGGGACGGATTGGGTTAAATCTTAGTAGACTTTGACCAGACCCTAAAAGGTATTGAGTCCAAAGCCGACAAAGAATTTGTATATTTTTTTCATTAGCATCTAGTTTTTTTTTTTTTTGCCAGGATTATCTTACTATCCTATCCTATTCTACTAAATACGATAGGAAATCAAATCAGTAATGGTATAGGTGAGCAGATCAGTACAGTGCAGGCCGACTTCCTAACGTTAATATACATAACACCGGATCAGTATGGTATTAAAAATTTTACTATACTGATCTGGGTAATTTAGCTTTCATAAAAAAAATAATTAAAAATTATTCCTTAAACCATAACGATAAACTTTCGTGGCTAAATTTGCCCGAGAATAATACCACTCAGCAAATTAATGTATGGTACATTTTATATATACATTTAACTATACGTAATAAAAATGAATTTGCAAATGCGCTTATTCTATGATTAAAGTTACAAACTCGGATAATTCCATGAACTCAAGATTAAATGACATAATCGGGAAGTTTCGCTGTAATTTTATGGTGCCCTGTTTCTGTAAACCAATAGTTATTATTAGTATCTATCTTGGTATAATTCATTAATCTATGGTTTAACTCCTTAACTGTATTGATCTCGGAGAATTTTAATTCAATCTTGTCGCCATTTAATCGCACAACATAAAAAGTTCCAGATTTGTATTTTTTTCGGGAAGTTTAGTATGCGTGTGTGAGAAACTTTCGAGACCGACTTTAAAACTTGTGTTGTTACAAACCGAGCAATAGTTATTAAATTCTTGTTCGGTTAATTTAACTTTGCATATAGGACATTTATGCTGGCGCTGCTTTTAAATGTATTACAAGACACTAACCAAAACGATTAAACATAAATAATCAAATTGTATGTTGGTATTCACTGTATGTTTAAAAAAATATATATAGTACCTTCAAACACCAGAAACTAACGTATTCACGTTTTAAGCTAATTGTACCAAATAGAAACTCATCTGAAAGTTTATCAAAATACCATTTTTCAAAATATTTCGTTACTGTACATGCAGAAATAGCAAACTATGGACATGTTTTACCTAATTTATTTATACGTATAAAATTTCACAAATAATGAATAAGGATGTTAATAGAAATCTTTATTGTTTTGTTAAAGATTGAATGCTTATACACAATACATAAACGTTTAACTATATAATACAGATTTCGAATTTTATTTGTTTTCAACGTTTATACTTTATTAAACGATTTTGAATTAATAAATTTTATTCCGTATATTTATTAAATTACATGTGTCGAAACAATTTAAAAATAACTATTTTATAAAAAAAGCTAACACAAAAACTAATCTTTAATTTTTTTTGTATAAACTCAATTTAAATTCGTCGATCTTGTAGAATTCGTCGTTCTTTATCGGTCTTGCGTATTACGGCCTATATACCGGTATAAAAAAAAAAAAAGATAAAAAAAAAAGATAAATAACTACTTCATAATTGAAAAACCAAACAAGAACGTTCACAGTAACTATAGTAACTGTGGCCACGAAGAGCTTCCAGTTGTTTAATTTTATGCATCCTCGCCACCTACAACGATTAATACCGATTTCCCGTTCACCCGACCCTGTTAAGTTGTAATTAACATAAGTTAATTGTCTTAATTAGTCGGTCCCGCGAACATGACATCAAAATCTTAACCGTGGTAGTAACCTTTAAAACCTTTGGAAGAAGAAATAAATGTTCACAACAAGTCATCCACCGTAGGTCTCAATGCCTAACTGGTAACTGTCACAAGTTGTGGCCCGATATGCTTCTATTATCTTCTACCTTCGGTTAAAAAGTCGCGAAAAGATACATACAATTAATTAGCAACTATTCAGTTATTGTACCATAAACCAGATGTAATTTTCACTAATATTAGTAAAAACAACCTAGACATCTATGATACATCACCTTGTATATATCCGGAGATTCTGCGTAGTTGTTTTTTTTAAATAAAATTTGTTATAATAAAAAGGTTCTTACTTAAAAAATGTGTAAAAAATGTAAATAATGAACAAAACCAATTTTTTTATATTGATTTTAGGGATGGCAAAAAAATGATTTTAAATGATTTTTATGATTTTTAACATGATTTAATACATTGTTTTAAAACATCGGTGATTATGGAACTGATGGTTGAAGCTAGAATTACTATATCGGGATTTGTTAATTTTTGACTTCAGCGTTACTGATATTTTGTTTTTCGAAATATATATATGAATATCTTCATCCGATTTATATTTTTTGATATTAGTTGGTGAAAATTGATATATTCAAAAAATTAAATTATAAATTAGTTAGTTATAGCCAATAATGCAATCGCTTTATTTTGTTTTA